TCCAAATGTTTGTTAGCGACCTAAATCGGCTCGACGATATTCGAGGTCCACTAATCCTGCCTCGAAGCACCAAGAGCTCCGACGACTCCTATATACCTACATAGCACAAGGAGACCTTCGAACAAGGAGGAATCTACACGGGATAAGAAGGATGCTGACTAAGAGGCGGATGGAATGCGAATCGACCAGGGCATTTCGGACATTTCGCGTAAGTTGGCCAGGGCATTTTGGGTACCTCAAGTAAGTGTTTTACTCCTATATAAAGGGAGTGAGGTAACCCCAAACCCTAACTTTCACTATCTCTATACATTTTTTCTCTCAGCTGCTGCTACTGAGCAGAGCTCACTTCATCACTCTCATACTGACTTGAGTGTCGGAGGCTCTTCACCGGAAACACTTCCGGCGTTGAGTTATTGCAGGTGTTTGCAGCGGTTCGAAGGTGATTCTGGGACAGTTCGAACAGATCGAAACTCATTACCACCGGTTCACTTCAGATCCAGGAGTAGACCCATCAAATAGTAAATTAAAATTGATGAGATAGACAAAAATGATTGATTGAACGATTGATTGATATTATTTAATTATATTGATGATTGCGAAATTAAGTTAAAGTTGAGTGAAAAAAATGATGGAATGATTGATTAATATTATTTAAATATAGTGATAATTTTAATGATTATGAAATTAAGTTAAAGTTAAATAAAAAAAATAATTAAGATATTGAAAATAATTGGAATGTTTTGAGAATTTTTGTATCCAAGCATCTGAGCTTTTCAATCTGCAAGCATTGTGGATTCTTGTTCACGTGTCCCCATTGGCAGCATATCTCTTATTTTCTCTACCTCGATTTCAATTCCATCTCAATCATCCTCATCAACCTCTTTTGTCCCGAAGGGGTCCCGACCGACCCCTTCATCAAACTGTAAATTATTATTTTCCTTGAAGGCGAAGCAAGAACCTTCTCCCTCCTTTGCTCCGGTTCTTCTTCTCACCATTGTCGACCTTCGTTTTATTATGATGCATAACAATTGACGAGACCAAGCTATAGTCATGGAGCCTTTCGGTAAGTTACGGGTAGATCTTTCCCCGTGGGAGCTCCGGGAGACAGCCTATGAGATCCTCATCGGAGCATGCCGGAGCTCTGGCTCGACGAAGCGGCTCAAGTACGTCTCTAATTCGACAAATTCAAGGGAGAGATCGTCTCAGCTATCCTCGTCGCCGTCGATGCACAGTGCTCTGTCGTCATGCGAGAGCAAACTGAAGAAAGCGCTGGGTTTGAAGCCGAAGAATAAGAAGAGAGAAGAGGAGGAGGAGCCCGGAAGCGAAGGTCAGGGGAATTCCGGGAGGAGAAGGATTGGGGTTATAGGTGGGGAGCTCATGAGGGTTCAGATGAGGATTTCCGAGCAGACGGATTCTAGGGTACGGCGTGGATTGTTGAGAGTGGCTGCGGGTCAGGTTAGAAATTTACCGTAGTTATTTTTAAGCATTAGATGGCGTGGGATTATAAAAGATTAACTATCACTTGTTTCAGTTGGTATGATTTTCTTTGGTAATGTAGGAATTGTGTTCGCTGATGTCTTTGTTTCCAATTGTTCTATTTTTTCTTTCTGGTCCAAATTATGATTGATGTGCTATTGCACCTCGAACCGGTCTTCCGTTGGTCCTCAACTGGTTTCCTCCCCCGGTGACCTGCAAAATACTGCCGGCCTGTGTTCACGTCAAAGTTGAAGTCAGTAAAGGACTATGGGGCTATGAAAAGCTCGGTTTGATATGCAACCATCGGATGGCTCGGCTTATGGAGCCATCCATAGCTATTCACAAATGGTTTTGACACGTATTCTGCAATAAATACACATTGGACATGTTAGTACCTAAAGTAATGGAGGGCTCCACAAGGGAGCCATCCGAGGGCTCCATAGAATTTCTGATGAAAAGCTATATATAAAGTGTAAGTAATGGAGTTGTAAAGCTTTGAGTGTTTATATTATTTATATCAAATTCTTAGCTTCTTGAACAAGTTTGGCCCTACCCGGCTGCCAACAGGCCTGCCGGACTGCCCGAGGTTCTTAGCTTCTTGAACAAGCTTTAACTTACCCGGCTGCCCATAGGCCTGCCTGTGTGATCGGATTGCCTGAGGCGCTGCCCGACGGTTAGTTGGCTGCCCTTAGGCCTGCTCTACCCTCATTCTTATTTGTAGGATCATTTTGATCCTTACCAAATAACCCTACACGTGTCCCCTATCACTAGGTCTTCCTATTCTCTCATTCGTATGTCCTCAGCTTCCGTAAGTCTTTCTTTTGGACCAAGTCTCCATAGGTCGATTACCACACACGTTGGGGGACCTGTTAACCGAAGGTCTACCCCCTCTGTCCTAGTTACTATATCGTCTCAGCTACCATATATCCGGGCTATGGTATATCCGAGCTACTGAGATGCTGGCCTCATGTTGCCCGAGCTATTGAGCTATCCGAGCTAGTGAGATATTGTCGCCATGTTGCCCGAGCTATTGAGCTATCCGAGCTACCATATATCCGAGCTATTGTATATCCGAGCTACTAGATAGTGGCATCATGCTGCCTGAGCTATTGATCTATCCGAGCTACTAACATACCGCGGTGTCCGAGCTAACCGAACGGAACTTTATCCCATCTACTAATATAACCGATTTACTCGAGCTAGATGGGACCGATTCATCGAGCTACTTATATATGTTATACCAAAGACCGTATGAACTGCAGATATCAGATATTCTTTGTGGTTTATTTATTTTTTGTTGTTAGTTCCTCCTACCAGAAAATGATATGAACAGTGGACGGTCAAATTTTTTCTCATGCACCATCTCTCTTTTATGATTTGAACTTTTTGCTTGTCCTGCTATATATCTCTTGTGTTTACAATGTTCAAAGTTCCTTTGGTGATTCACATGATTTGTTATGTACTTGCCAAAAGAATGGTAATGCCACTAAGTCTTACGACACTTCTTTCGTGCTGTGAAGCTTAGAACTTGTAGAATGTTTATAGGAGAATATATATGCTTACCGTTGAGTTACAGCATAATTACTTTTTATCTGAGTCATAATAAGATTTTCTTTTTCTTGTTTTAACTGCTTAGCAGCTTGGAAGACGTATTGAGTCTATAGTTCTGCCGTTGGAGCTATTGCAACAGTTGAGATCTTCAGATTTTAATAATCAGAAAGAATATGAGGCATGGCAGAAAAGAAACTTGAAGGTCCTTGAAGCTGGGCTTCTTGTTCACCCGTACTTGCCTCCTGATAAGTCAGACACGGCATCTGAACGCCTTCGACAGCTCTTATATACCGCTTCAGTGAAACCCTTTGACACAGGAAAGCACAGTGAATCGATGCATGTTCTCCGCAATCTTGTTACTTCTATGGCGTACAGGTCATTTGATGGTTTTGTTGCTGATATGTGCCACTGGGCGGATGGGGTTCCTCTAAATCTCCATCTTTATAGGATACTTTTAGAAGCTTGCTTTGATGTAAATGATGAAACATCAATTATTGAAGAAGTAGATGAGGTACTAGATCAAATAAAGAAGACTTGGGGAGTCTTTGGAATAGACCAGGTGTTCCATAATCTTTGTTTTCTGTGGGTTTTGTTTCACAAGTACATTACTACTGGTGAAATTGAAGGTGACCTTCTTGTTGCTGCTGATCATATGATGGTGGAAGTTGAAAAAGATGCAAGCGCAACTCGTGATGTAAAGTACTCGAAGATATTAGCTTCTATATTGCATATGATGTTAGATTGGGCCGAAGGAAAGCTTCAAAGGTACCATGATATCTTTTATAGGGATAACATCAGTGTTCTGAAAAATGTTTTGTCACTTGCGGTATCAGCAGCCAAAGTATTGGACATGTCCCACAAATATGGTAAGAACAGTGAAGAAGTCAATGTGGCCTATGACAGGGTTGAATCTTATATCAGGTCATCAATTCGCAGAGCGTTTTCTCAGGCGAGTACAAAACTCTTCTTTTTTTTTTTTTTAATGGTGATAATAGATGTTGAAGACCTATTTTTAAAGGAGTATTGATGTTCTTTAGCTCCTTACTTTACCTCAATTGTTTCACTTGGTCGAAGTCAAGCATCTATTTTGCTTTGAATTGTTGTGATTTTTATCCATAATCCGTGTAGTTGTTGAGTTACATTATTGCTAACCTTTCATTTATCGGATTTCCATACTCCGTGGAAGCTGAACGGACAGCTCCGTAGGCTATGCCTTCTTTTGGTTACGTAACGCACTCTAAGTTGTGACTTGCTGATTATTCAGTGGTTAATGGTAAAATTTTCACTACGCTGTTTTAGACACATGAGAACTATTGGTAGGTGAATAATGAAAAAGTAAGATGTAATGTGCATATACAGTATGCTCGTTGAAGGCAAGAATTACAAGTAAAGTATATCTACATTTTGAAAATATTATGTAGAAAGTTAATTGAAGATACTTAAATCAGATTGGGATATTGTCAGTACGATTGATGGGAGTGATGTTTCCCTTGGCGTACATGTGAATAACATGTAAGATTATCCATCTCTTATCTATTTAGATAATTCGGACAACTTTAAGGTTAATAGTTTTGAAATTAAAGTTTACAGGTTAATGATATGTGATAACGTAATTCAATACAAACGTTGGTTATTTCAATCTATTTTGAAGAATCCATTTTATTATATTATATATTGTCTTTTTATCTTTTATTTTTTCATTATTAGGGAGATATTGATGCTATCCGTACTTAGATTTTAAGCACCCATGTAAATTTTATATTAATGTAATGTAATTGTTATCTAATTACATTACAAATGGAGCTGGAAGAGTCAATGTTGACAATTCTTCTGGCATCGTGCAAATAATGGACTAGATCAAAATGACTCAATTAAATTCTAGTGCTTCTTCTATTAGTGAAGTTTCTAGAAAAAATATATCAAACGACGCAACGCACCTTGGGTCGCTATGGAAACAGCCTCCTTGTATAATTACAAGGGTAAGGTCTGCGTACAACTGACCCCCCAGACCCCAACCTGTTTGGGAATATACTGGGTATGTTGATGTTGATGTTGATGATGTAATTGTTATCTAATCTATATTTTATGGTTGACAAAATAAATAAATAAATAAATAAATGAATAATTAGTCATCCTCTATGCAGATGGATAATAGCGTAGAGTGTTTTTGACAATTTTTAGAATTGATTCCCAATGGAAAGCAATCACTGATGGTACAAATGTGGGATTTGAATCCTGGGTGAAAGATTGGTGGAGAATTGATCTCCTCTGGTCAGAAATTATACCGAACATAGTAATTTGGTAGACAATGACATTTTGGATTTGGGTGGCATGGCACTGGACAATTCGGTGTAGTATGTGCATTTTAATCTTTAGTTGTATTGTATTTTTTTCTTGTAATTTGCACTGAGGCTCCTGTTTAATTCATATTAAGACAGGAAACAGAGAAGCTCATCTCCAAAAAGAAGTTCTCTAAGAATCAACAGAGCCCTCTCCCTCTCCTTTCCATCCTTGCCCAGAATATTTGTGATCTGGTATTCAATGAGAAGGAAATTTATAGCCCTGTACTGAAAATTTGGCATCCTCTTGCTACAGCCATAGCTGTTGCTACCCTTCATGCTTGCTTTGCAGAAGAGCTTAAGAAATTTGTGTCGGGTGTGAGTGAACTAAATCCTGAGGCTATACAAGTGCTGTTAGCTGCAGAAAAACTTGAAAAAGATCTTGTAGAAATGGCAGTTGCAGATTCACTGGACAGTGAAGATGGTGGAAAGGCAACAATTCAGGAGATGATTCCTTATGAAGCTCAGACTGTTATAAGAAACTTTGTGAAATCTTGGATACAGACGAGGGTTGATAGACTTGGGGATTGGGTTAACAGAAGTTTGCAACAAGAGGTACGTACTTTCGGTTCCCCTTTGGTTATCTTATTTTAGCTCTGTAGTTAATATGATGTCAGGATTTATTATTGACCATGAAATCCGTACCAACTTGGAACATACAATGTTGACTATATGATATCTCATTTAGGTTTATGTCTCCATTGGATTAATCTGGTCTTCCATTGATTCATGTACCTGAACGTGTTGCATGGTTAATGTCACAGTTTCACAGGATTTCAGATGTTCATTTGCAATAGAAATAAACAGTGACCCACAATAAAAAAGGTGGGAATAACACAAACGCAACAATGTGGTATGGAACACACTAAGTTTGATTTTGCTTTTGTATCAAACATCTTCCAAGTCATATGAAAATGGTCGTTTAGACCTTCCATTACGTTTGGAGGTTGGGGTCTGGTTAGTTTAGAGCCGTTCATAAGATCACTCATATTAAAGTTGAAAAAGAATAAAGTTTTTATTCATTCTTGAATGGAGGAATTTGAAGTGGGTGATACCATATTATAACAGAGAGACAATTTCTTTAGTGTGTATTTGGATTGTGAATTTTAAATCCATACTAGAAGCTCAACGGATTTCATATTATTTTGAGGGATTTCAGATGAATTTTTGTTGTTGAAAATCTACTCTTCACCCCAACACCGTGAGAAACATGCCATCTGTGAGCCAACCCCTCTGTTTATATCTATTACCACCGTGAGAGAATACTGTTGACATGAGAAAGAATGGATTTGTAATCCTTTCCACATATCCATCCAAAGCCAAATAAGGAATGAACAAGAAAATTTAAAATCCAAAAAATAAAAAACTGAAAGCTATTAATTTGAAATCTCTTACAATTTCATATCCTTCAATCCAAATGAAGTCTTAGGTGGTGGTTGGTGAGAAATTTGACATACTTGGATTTGAGTTCCATCGAATTAATTTGAAATTCATGTTGGATGTAGTGTTTATTTGCTAAAAGAAGTTACATCAACTACAAGTTTGATATTTTTCGCAATTGTTCATGTAAAAATAAGAGAAATATAGATTTCTGAACATATAGCATTTGTATATTTTAGTGAGTGTAAAAAACATCTATGTAGTGTGGGTGAATGAAATATGTGGTGCGCTTGTGACATACGCAGAATGTGTTGTGAGTGGAATGTGTACAGTGTCTTTTTCCTGCTGTGAATCCTGAAATGTAAGTACTCCATGTTTTTATGTCAATGTAAAATGTGTTTAATGTGCTTGTGTTATGCATGAGTTTGATCTTGAGTTGTTTTCTGCAATCCATTTCTTCACTTGAGTACAGTTTCTTTGAAGTTATGAGGCTTGACTGGAGGCGATATAAATTGAAAATATATCATCCATTTTCTTGCTTTTATTTGAATATTAATATGCCAATCCTCCTAGGGAACTGCTCCTGAACAGAAAGATGCAAAAGAATAGAATATGTTGTTGACCTGCTATAGCAAAAATGATGATAATTAAATTTAAGAAAAATGCTGGTTATCAATTGATCTGCTTCCAAATCTAGATTGTTCCACTTAACAGGGACAAATATAGAAGGTTTCTGTATAACATGTTGGACTTCTTTGCCTCAGGACTGGAACCCTGATGTTAACAAAGGACGTTTTGCAGCCTCAGCTGTGGAAGTTGTGCGCATCTTAAACGAGACTTTGGAAGCATTCTTTCTGTTGCCCATACCAATGCATCCAGTTTTGCTTCCAGAACTGATGGGTGGTCTAGACACATGCCTCAAGAACTATGTCACAAAGGCGATTTCTGGCTGTGGTACACATTAACTCTCAACATATGATTTTTTCTTTAACCCTACAGTACTGATGATGAGCTGTTGGTGTAGGATCTCGAGTCACCTATATTCCGGCGCTGCCCGCTCTCACGAGATGCACTGTTGGTTCAAAGTTGAGCGCGTTTAAGAGGAAAGACCGTTTACTGATGAGCCCGAGCAGGAACAAATCCGTATCTGCTCGCAGAAACGGGGACGATCCCTTTTCCCTACAACGAATGTGCCTCCGCATCAACACTTTATACAACATCCGGAAAGAGACGGAGGCCATTGAGAAAAAGACAATGTTCAACCTGAGGAAAAGTGGATATGCCGATGACGAAAAGGCCGCCAATGGAATGTTGGGTCTCTCCGTGGCTTTGTGCCTGGAAGGCGTCCGCCAGCTGTCGGAGGCAACTGCGTACAGAGTCGTTTTCCACGACCTGAGGCATGTCCTTGGCGACTATCTGTACATGGGAGGGATTTCTTCCTTGCAGAGAATCGAGCCTTTCCTGGAGGAGCTGGAGAGGAAATTAGAAGTGGTATCGGTTATGGTTCACGACAGAGTGAGGACGCGTGTCATCACTGACATCATGAAAGCTTCATTTGAGGGTTTCATGCTGGTGCTGCTTGCCGGCGGGCCTGCCCGTGCTTTCTCCCTGCAGGATGCAGCAGTGATTGAGGAGGATTTCAAGTTGCTGTCGGGTCTGTTCTGGTCCAACGGGGATGGCCTTCCAGTCGACATAATTGAAAAGTTGTCCCCGACCGTGTCCGGAGTTATTTCCCTCCTACAAACTGCTACGGATAGGCTGATAGAGCAGTTGAAACAGATGACTGCTGCTGGCAACATGAGGCTGCCGTTGCCACCGACAACGGGCCAGTGGGGTCCCACAGACCCAAACACGATCCTGCGTGTTCTCTGCAACCGCAATGACAAGACTGCATCACAGTTTCTGAAGAAAGCCTATGGCTTGCCAAAGAATACGTGAGTGTTGGTTGACACACTTCGTAGAGCATTGGTGATTGTACTATGACTAGATTTTGATAGTTGAGGAGGAACCAAGTGGAGATGAAAAATCGCCAGCCTTTGCCTTGGCTGCTGCATCATTGATTTGCCTTTCGGAGCTTTATATAGTTACGCTTATATGACACGCACATCTTTACGGATCATTTTTATTTGCCTTGTTGGCTGTTGTTTGGGAGAGTCAAGTATGTTAATTGTGATTGTGCGGTTGCTCTATTTGTATAATGTAATCATATGTTGTATAGGGTGTTATTTTTTTAATTGAAATTGTGTGGCTTGGTCGCAACTTGCTGCAGTGTATACTATCACTATCCTAAATTTGGTTGCACTTCATTTTATTTAATCAGAACGATAGAAAACTCTAATAAAAACAACGAGAACAAAGTTCGAATACTGGCAAAGCCCGAAAGTCCAAGTCACAAATTAGAGAGCACTACAACACACTATTATAGTTTAAATGACAAGCCAAGCCAAACTAAACCTAATCGGAGACAGAAAACAAAGGGCATTACTATTTACCGTCCCCCTTATTACTAGCCACCGCCCCTCTTGGACGATTTTGCCCTTCTCATTCGCACCATGTCAAGCAGCTCAGAGGTAATTTTTTTTCTGTCCGGACGAGAAAGCCTCACGGGACCGGTCGTGTCCAGCCGAAAAAACCGGACGGCCCGTAGGGTGTACGGCCGGTTCGGCCGGACGTGACCGTCCCCACACGTCTTTTGGGGCCGTACGAACCGGTCCTAGTACTAACAGAGCGGCCGTACGGCCGACTTGATGTCCGGTCGCGACGACCGCACGGAACCCGGTCCGTGCGGTCCTACCGGCCGGACATATATATTTTTTTTTTAATAAATAAAATTATTAAAAATTATTTTGTTATAGATTTTATATAATTTTTGTTATAAATTGAACGTAACATAGTATTATCGTGTTAGAACTAGAAATTATTA